GACTGCGACACTGGATGAGTTGTTTGCCCTTTCTGTGCCTTATCTCCTAAGAGTGCCAAAAATGGAGAGACTGCTCACAACAGAACAAAGTCATAGATTTTCAGAGATTCACATATGAGGCTCCATGTGATCAAGAAACGTGCCTATTCTAAACTTTGCATCTCCCCAAGTATCTAGCACAGGACTCTAGCGTAATGCTAAATGTTTGTTGATTTGATTTCTACATGTGTATGTATTATCTTTAATTAATCATGCAATCAACAAATATTTATAGAGTTTCTGCTAGGTACCAGGCATGGTGCTAGATGCTAGGGATTCGAATATAAAGAATGAAAGTGTGTATTATTAAAAAAAACCAAGATAATTAAATGCAATTGACTTAAGAAAGAAGTGTACTAACATTTTAGGACCAAGAAAGGCTTTGACTAGAAGGTTGCTCTAGAATAGTGTCTTGAAGGAAGAGAGGAAGACTATTTACTGTATTTATCTTCTCTACTCCATCAGTTCCAGTAGGGGAAGGATAATGTCTTATTTGACTTTCTATCTATCAACTTTCCCATCATGCCTTGCACAGTGCTTCATACACAGCAGGAGCTGAGGAGATCTAGGTTAGAGTTGAAGCTTCGATACAGTGAGAGATTAGACAAATTGCTTCATCCTGAAAACCAGTTGTCTCTTTCAAATGTACACAAATGCACAGTTTGAATGTACACACAATGTTATGTATTGTATTTATGTACACAAAATGTACATAAATGTACATGTCTTACCTGTCTAAAGATGGGGAGTTGATGAATTCTTGAGGCTCTTTTTAGCTCATAGTGCTATGATTCTATGAAACTATTCTTTGCATGCTTGATTCTACAATAAGTACTACAAGTATCTCTGACTTCCTGCTTGGTTCAAGAACTGTCTACTCAGTGGTCCGGAGTAAGACATAGCAAGCTTTTGAAATTGGAGCACATTCATACAATAGACTGTCTGTAATTTCCACATAGGAATGAATGAATTCTGTGCAAATAAATCTCAGGCAACTTTAAAGTTTAAATTATTATTCCTAAGTTGGAAGGTGTGATTGTCTTAACTTCTTTCTGTACAGCTCTTATTTTTTGATTACCTTGAATATTCATGTTGAAAGTTTGCAGAATGAATAAGGAATGAAAAAGCATTTATTAAACAATTACTGTGTGCAAAGCACTGTGCTAAGCTCTGGAAATACAAATAGAAAAGACTGCTTTCCAGAAGCTCACCTTCAAATGGGACATGCAACATATACAGAAGTCACCTACAAGTCAGATGGAAAGGTCCCAACGGTCCTGGGGGAACAGGGGCAAAGCAGATGGCAAAGCATCTTCTTCAGTTCATTTAATCTGTTTCTGATGCTGAACCATTTGTCAGTGCCAGGGACGTTAGTGTTGGCTACTTTGCCCCCAAGTCTTCAGCAGTTGCCAGGTTACTTCCCCACAGAGGTTACTTCCTGGCCTGATAACTACAGGCCTGGCCCAGGTTGGATACAGGACCAGTGGGCCTATAGAGCACTTCTATTCCCTGGTCTCTTGGGCCTGCAACCCCCATGGTGGCAGATGGTCAACAACTGGTGGTAGTGGTGGTATGGACCTCCACAAAAGTTGCTCCCTACAATGACAGCTGGAGGGGCCATGCTAGAAGCAGGACTGGTGGTCTGGGGACACTGCTCTTCTCCAGGCTCTTGGGTTCAGGGGCTTGGTATGTCTCCATCCATGTCTGAGGAGAAGTGGTTAAAGTCTTGGAAGCGCTATGACTTACTGGACAGTGTTGTGTCCTATATCTTCCCTCATGGTGTCATGCTGCTTTGGAAGAGGAGGAGACTAGATATCCAGGAAAAAGGTGAGAAGAATATTATCAGCCCCCAGAAATTCTCTGGACCACATCATTTTATTTTGGAACCCAGTTAGAAATATTTACCTAAAACATGCAAGACAGATGACTACAGAACCATGTCTTAAAAATCTCTAGGCAGGATTCTATGCGGAATTTCATATTACATGGACCCAGAAATAAAAGAAGTTAATTAATTAAAGCATAAGTAAATAAAGACTAGGAGAGGGGAATGGGATTGTATACAACTCTCATGTTCTGACAAATCATAAGGAAATAGAATGTATGAGCCTTTAGAACAGCAATGGTTTCATATTTTGTCTTTGTATTCTGAATGCCCAACATATTACAGGTACTTAATAAATGCTTATTAATTGGGTGATTGAATCATAAAATATCCAGCTGTAAGGGATCTTTAAAAAAAACCAGCAGCAACACATGGCCTAACCCCATCATTTTACAAATGAAGAAAGTGAGGCTTAGAGCCATCAAATGACTTACTTGCCCAAGATCACACAGATAGTAGCAGAATCAGTAGCTCAATTCGGGTCTGTGGTCCTAAGTCTGCGTTTGGCTCTGCCATCCCAGGGTCTTTTTGTCTAAGGCCATGTTCTTTTGTTATTTCTCTTCCTCTTCGTTCTTCTCTTTTAATAAATCTTCAGTTTCCTTTTAGTAACTTCTGTCAGTGTTCTACTGAACTATCAGGAAGGAGGTGGTTCCAGATTCTTAGATTACCTCCCCTAAATCTTTTATTTGGTTACATCTTTAGTGTGCAGGGAGAATAATTGGTTGATTGCTTTCTTCCTTGGCAGTGACCCTTCACGTACCTTAAGACAATCAAATTAAGTTACTTCTTCACCAATAGAAATAACCCAGGCTCCTCTAAACTTTTTTCATAGGTAGGGATGGAAATTAAGGCCAAGGCAGAACATAGCCCTTAAGAGCCACTGGTCCTACTCTCTTGCAAACCATTCTTCAGAATATGAACCATTGAACATAGTCAGGGGTCCCTGAGTAAATAATTTCCTAAAGACCCTAACATTTCCATTTTCTAAACTTGTAACAATGTGGCCTGCAGTTCTCTAAACGTTCTCCAGTGTCTCTGATTTTCTCTTATATCTTAGAGTTCCAAAGTCGATTAAATTCTAAGAGCCTTATATAGTGTGTCATTCTATCCTAATATTTTTTTTATTATGAATACTAAGGCAGGTCTAAGTAAAAGGAATAAAGCTTTATTGTCTTCAAATGAAATGCTTCGCACAGTGTTTGGCA